TAAAGTGATCTAGGTTATCCACAACACATTCTCCCACCAATCTCCTGGGGCTCTACCTCACACTCGTTTCACGATTTGCGAGGCTTGGCAATTCAGCGCGAGATGCCCAACAATACGTTCAAGGACCACCACGAAAAGTTCTGCCCTCACGTCAGACGGAGGTGGGGGTACTAGTGAGAGCCAGTGAGAGCCCTCTCACAGAATGAACAATAGCAGTTTCAATCAGTAGCTACTTATTTGACAGAAACTAACACAAGAAACCAGCGAAAGTGAAAATGCCCCCTGTTCCCAACCTTCTTCAGCCGATCAGCGAATGGGATAGCAAGGAGCTTTCATCAGATCCGATCATGAAAATAAGCAATATGGTTTACCAACTTTACAAGTGTTCACGGGTCTCACCAAATGTAGACTCGTAATCGGACATGAATTGAGAAAACGAACTAGCGAAAGTGTAAAATGCCCCCTCCAAGCTTAACAGCGCTTGTATTACCTACCTTAGTGTAAAGTGCTTTGCTTCAGCTCCACATAAAATTGATAACTTAATTGGTCTAGGTTTCGGCGAGATTGCTCTGTTCAGAGTTCGAAAGGATCGGGAATTCACGAGTACCCGGCCAAACGTCTTCACTACCCTACCGAGTTTGGGATCAAATCTACATTAATCCGAGATCCAGTAGGGCAAGAGAGACTGTTCGGAGTCATGAATGGATTTGATCCTTTCGTTTTCTGAAGAAGGCAGTTCCTTCAGAAAGTAGGTCATAAAGTTGATTTCTCAGGTCGTGTGGAGTTGAAGCAAAACATCTTCCAATCGACACAACCCTGAGGTTTAAGAAAGCCGTACATGGCGCGTACTCTGCAGTTTATCGATTCTCATTACAGAGCGTTTGCACGAGGACATTGCAGACGTGGGGATAGATGTCGTTACGCTCACCCGGTAACGCAAGAGCCAGTACAGAATCCTGTAACAATTGACGCAGCACCGAAAATGTACGAAGCTGACGACATTTTTGCCAAGAAACCGAAAATAGCCTAGCTGTTATTATTGCTTATTTGTTGTTTAGTAAAATTTCGCCCTTTCGATTGGTTTTGTTGTTAATGATGAAAGGATAAAGAGCCGTTAAATAAAATAAAAATAGGATTTGTGGGAAAAATGAGGTCGCAGAATTCAGTGAATGCTTCGTTAGCTGATCAGCCGATATCGATGGCATGTTCTTGATGCTGTTGGAGTGGTCTAAATAGAGATGCAAAACGTTCTGGAGATATGGGGAATTGAACCCCAGACCTCTCCCATGCTAAGGGAGCGCTCTACCACTGAGCTATATCCCCACGCAAGAGTGGAGCGCCTGCGAATGTTCTATAAGTTCATTCATTGGCTTGTACTTTTCTTCGAATACATGCATTGATAAGAGGGCAAACTCACCGGTGATTGATTAGTTCCTGTGAAGTGCGCCATGCATTTTATCCCTTCAAAAACTCTTGAATGGTGAATAATTTTCCAAAGATACGCCTGCGAAATCTTTACTTTCATTACAATCCTATTCAAACAAAGGACAATGCCAATAATGAAAGTCACCCTTCAGTCTATAAATGTCCCTTCACCGTATGGGTTATTATTTTTTTCGGCTGATTTCGCGGCCTGCACCGGCGAACTATCACAAAGATTCCGGGCGCATTTCAGCGACGAGGTTGGGGGTGGGGAGCGACACATTTTGTACTAGCGTCATCTAGTTCCGGTTTACAGGCCTCGTTTTCGTGAAACCTGCGCTCTTGTGATGCTGGAGCAAGCTCTTCGAGCCCCATGATAAATTGCATTAGTATGATACTTCATTGATTTGTTAAAGTTGACCGGCATTCTTTACAAAAGCTGACAGATGTGCTCTTCAAACTTCACCTGGTATCATTTTGTGGCTTCACAGGTCTCCAATTGATGCTTTGACGGAAGTAGCAAAAGTGCCAAATGCTCCCCTCCTTTCCAAACTGGGCTTATTTCTCTTCCAGGTAAAGTTCTCAGCTCGAACTGCGCACGCTTTAGTCCATCATCATTGGAAATAACATTAGGGCGTTTTATCAGCGTGACAGAAATTTCTGTCCAGCTGTGAAGGAAATTCCCTTTCTCCCCCTCCTCCGTGTAGTTGTTGCGCCCTCGAAGTCCTACACAGCTCCTATTTGCGACAGTTGAAATCAGTGAGATTAGTAGTTGTTCGGTGACTCGGCAGTTTCTCTGGAGGGGGGGGGTCGCAACGAAGGAAAAATTTAGGAGGGTGTTGACGCCGCCTTTCCTCTATCCCGGTGCTGCACTGTAATAGGCAATGACCGGCTTTTGTGGGGGACACAATATGTGGATGTTGGTGTTTTGTTCGTAGTGAGATTCGTTGCCAATAAACCAAACCCAGAAGCATGGAGAGATTTGTCGGCACCAACAAGGAACTATCTCAGGAGTCTGCATGTTGTCTCTTGTAACTGAATCTAGGGTACGTCGTATGTTGGAGAAATCCTCGATGGGGTCGTGCTCCATGGCTGGAGGGGACCGGGTTCGTATTTGGCCGCGGACTAATTTTCTGCCCGTTTACGCCCTCTCCCTCTTAGCTGGTGACTACGCAAAGCTACTATTTCTGAGAGTCGATCGGAGCTGACTACCTATCTCCTCCCGTTTGACGGAGGAACTCGATAAGACTCAGGTAGGTCGCAATTTGCAAGTGGGGGTCGCACCGGTGAAGAGAATTCGGAGTGTCGTTTATTGGAAATTCTCTCCAACGCCACGACATGCCCTTACCACGCCGTCAGATGTTCGAGTGGCCGCTGATTGAGCTCCTTTTGATTAGAAAATATGACCACCGTTCTAATAATTTTTGAAAGGCGTGGGCAATTTTAGTTGTGCTAAACTCCGCAGCGAAACCGGTAGCAAATACGATGCGCGCGTGTGCAAGACCACC